GCTTCTGTAACCTTTTGTTGTTACAGTGAGGAAGCTCCGGAGGCAGCAAACGCCCCCAACCTGGCTGGATTTCCCATCACGGAGATAACGTCCAGCCACTAGCTGCTTGGCCCGGCTGCCCAGGAGGCAGGTGGGACCACATCGGCCTGCTTGCTGAAGAGCTTTCAACAGCTTTCCCTTTGTGTTCCCCTGGCCTGGGCAGGTCTGGGAAGGCTGTGGTCAAGGTCCTCTTAAGGACAGCAGCTCTGGGCCTGCCAAGCAACTAGAAGAAGTGTTCGTGCCTCACACTGACTCCGCGTCCAGGGTAAGACTCCAAAGGAAATCGTGGTAATTTCCCTGCAATTCCTGTTAATACTGGGCAGTGAGAAATTCCTGCTTAGGGCAGAAAGGCCACTGAAACAGGGCCACCAGCTACAAGGCTCCTGCTGCTCTGGAAACTGCCCCTCCCATTCAGAATGACCCCCCTGGGAGGCGCAGAGGGAAATTCTGCTTTTGTTTTTGTGGGAGGGGGAGGAGGGGGCAGGGAAAGGAGGGGAAGAGAGTGGGTACTGAGAGCTGTGCTGGGTGCAGGGGCACCTCCTCTGAAGCCACAGTGAAGACGTGAGGAGGAGGGATGTGGCACCGGTGGACAGGAACAGGCTTGTCAATGAACGTGAAAGACCCTGCAATTTCCAGCAGCAAATTTAAAAAATAGTAATACGAGGAAATGAGGCCTGGATGTTTTGCATGGTTCTGGAATCTGGAGAAGACAGCCTGGCTCAGAGGACACTCACACACAGACTTTGATCCGGGGGCCAAACACTGAGGAAATCATACTCAGGAATAGCTCCAAGCACCTCGGTGTGAAACTGGAGCGCCCTGCTAGCGTGTCTGATTGTCCTTTAGTCTGCCTACTAAAGACTCTGGGAGCTGAGAAAAAAAAAATAGAAAGACCCAGGGAGGCAGGGAGGAGCCGGTCTGAAAACCCAGCATGGACTTGCCTGGTCGAGAACCAGACCCAGGCACCACAACTGCCTCCACACCCCTCCTTCAGTTCCGCAAGAAAGACCGACCGTCTGTGATAAAACTGCCCCAATTCCATTTGGAAGATGTCCTCTAAACGGTTATGAATCTCCAGAAATCCTCTCCGCTGTGCTTTCCTTACAAAGCGGGCCCACCTGATGCCTGCGCTGTGCCCGCCGGGCTGTGCACCAGGCACGGGGTTCGAGCAGGAGCCGTGGCCGCCCGGCCGTGCGCTGGTGGATGAGCTGCCGGCTCACATCTGGCCCATGTTCCCGCTGCATCTCCCCCGCTCATTCTTAACACAGATCACAGATGAACATTTCCCTCTTCACACATCTGGATAAAGGCTTTCCTCACTTCCTGTCCTGGGATCGAGACAATTCTTTTCCGTTTGAATTGTGTCGACTCCAGTTATGAGAACATTTGCCCCGGAGCAGCTTTCCCCTCGCCTTTCCCTCTGCTCCCCAGACACCCGCCCGCCCTCTGCCCACCTGCCACGATTAGGTCTCGTTCTGTGCTGCAGGCCAGGCAAGCAGGTCCCCGGGCACGCATCAACGGGACATGCTTCCCACGTCCCCTGCCCTGAGCTCCTATTTGCAGGGTTGCATTCTAGGCGGAAACATCCAGGGTGCCAGGAGCTAGCTTCTGATGGTGTCCTTATTGGAGGACACCGAGATTCACGTGTGACTGCCTGGGGCTACGGATCCCATTTGTGACTTCAGGGAGGTGGTGGAAGGTGGCATCCACACATCCCCTGTCCTCGTGGGACTGAGCAAGAGAAGAAAGTCCCTGCTCCACTCATGCTCCCTCCCTCCTCCCGGTGACACCAGCCAGGACAGTGCTTCCGAACTGGGGGCTGTGAACGTGTGTGCTGGTCTGAGAACCCAGCCGTGTGCTACGCAATGTTTCCACCAAGTCCATTGGTAACTGTGTGTGTGTCTGCAGCACGCATGTGGCCGCCGTGTCACCGAACGCTGCTCCCTACGAGGACATCTGTGCCTCTGAAGCTCAGCCCTGCACTGCTCCCCATTTCTGGGCACTTGTGCACTCAGTACCTGGGCCCTCCACGAGGTGCAAGACTTCTTGGGCCCCACCTATTTCTCCGCCTCTGTTCCTCCCACCGGTCACATTCACCCCATCGCAGGTGACTTTACGCTTTGCTCTGTGCCCTCATTGAGGTCTCCCAGGAGACCTCGGACAAGAGATGACAGGACTAAGCCTGCCTCGGGTGGCAACTTCCCAAGGGCTGTCTTTTTCTTTCCCGGCCTCATCAGCCGAGAGTGCAACTGGCTGGTGCGGCCTCAGGGAAGTGGTGAATCCAGTACTGTTGGGGATCAACCCTGAGGGACGAAATGAGGCGCAAGAGATGGAAGCAAGAAGGTGGGTGGAGCCAGAAATCAACAAGGAAGCCCCTGAGACATCCCATGTCAGTGGGTCTCCCACCAGGAGAGCCTTCCTAAGCTCTCTCATCGCCTAGGGTGTGATCTGCTTGATCGGGGGTGAGGCACACACACCCAGCCTTCAGAAGAGAGGTGGCACTTTATCACTATCAAATGGTTAGGGATGGGGGGGGGGGCGAGCCCATGGGGACTTTCTAAGGGTCCACTGAGGGATACTCTTTTGCATTTTCTAAAACTTCCACCAAGAAATTTTCTTGGAGAGCATGGACCAGTGGCTCAGGCCCACTGAGAACAGCATCTCATCCTATCTTAGTTCCCATGTACGTGAGGAACGTGGAATTAAACTGCTCCCCTCCATTCTGAAATATGGAACAGCTTCCCAGCTTCGTGTCTGGCAAGCGGCCTGGCCGTGGCTTCACTGAGGGTGAAGGTTGGCCTAGGCCGCCTCAAGCCTCCACACAGCCTTGCCTGCTCATCTGGGCCCAGCGGACCAGAGAGGTCTGGGGACAGAGAAGATGTGACTTCATCCTCGGGAGATCTCCTTCCCAACATTTGCAAATAATTGAAGACAACAGACTTCCCTGGGAAAGCCATAATCGCCCAACAAGGGGCAGGGCCAAATGCTAGCAGGATTTATTGGCTTTGATTAACAATAAGGTGTTTGTTTTTGTAGGTAATTAGAGTTCAATAGCAAGCTATAAAGAGTCCTCTAAGAAATTCTAAACAGACTGTAGCTAGAGGCGACTGCGGTCTGACTGAATCTAACCATTCATCTTTGCAGACCTCCTGGGCTAGGACGCGGGCCTTTGATGCTGCACAGTGGCACAGGTCATCGGGCAGAAAATGGCCCTCTGTGCTCGGCGTCTGAGGAGAAAAGGCCTCTGTGTCGCACGTGTGAGCTCACGCGCGGTGCAAGCAGCGCTCCTGCATGAGCCCTGGTGCTCAGCGCTGCCACGGACGATGCAGTTCATGCATCTCTCCGAAGGTCCACAGCGAGCTGCATGTTGGGAAATGTCTGGACAGCTCTGCACTCTCACAGCCAGCGGGTAGGGGATTCTGCGGAGCTCTGACGCGCTGGGCGGGTCATTTGACAGTGAGGAGAGCTTTGCCAAAGCCAGGTGAATTTATGCTTTTCTCTGAGCAACCACTCTTGGATACGCGGTTGTTTTTAACAAGTCAGAGATATGAAAACAAACTTGATTATAATTCATTTTTAAAAATCATTTTCTGGTAGTATAGGCAAGATAGTACGGGCAAAGCGCTGTCACCAATTAAAAAAAAAATACCAGTGACATGAAATAACTGTGTACAGACAACGAACGGCTCATCTTCTTTCTCGTGGCCAATAACCTGTTTGCCCTCCTTCATCCCAGGAAATAGGCATAAGATCATTTTCACTCGCTGCACCCACATCATGATAACCAACAGGTTACAGAGCAGCCAATGACCAAACTGCCCCCAGGGGTGAAAAAAGTAAAATGGGACCAGACAACCAAAGAGAAGCAGAATAAATAAATAAAGCCACAGATACAGCTAAGACGGGAGGAAAACATCTTTTTCTTTATACATTGGGGTCCCAGGCACCTTACTGTGTAGGTCATTAGAAAACCTTCACCACATATCTTTTCCCGCAAGAACTAGATTTACATTGAATTTTGTTCTGTTCGAGCCAAAATAAATTTTCCCATTGTTTTGCATGCTCTGGCCTCCTCGATTTATTTATTTTTTAAGTTCTTAAGCAGTCGTATCACAATTTTCACTTCAGAGGAACATAAAACAGGCACCTACTCCGGGAGAAAGAGCCAACAGTGGGGCTGTAGTTTCAGTCGGCTGGCGTTCTGCCACCTGAGACTTCTTGCGGGTGACCTTGACCTTGGGCCAGCGGCTCAACCCCTCTGCCCTTCTGTTTCCTCGTCTAAAAAACCAGGCGGCTGCCTTAGAGTCTCCACCTTTGGGCTCTGAGGTTCTGTGTTTCTTTTCTCCTAAAGCAGGGGTGGGGAACGTTGGGCCCATGGGCCGTACGCAGGCCCCGGTATCATTTGGTCTGGCCCTGCCAAGGCAACTGCAGGCGGGGCTCGTAATTCAATAAATCTTGGAGCTTTTTTTTCCTAGCTAATTTTTAAGTTGATAATTTTGTATGGCCCTTGAATGATGTTATAAATATCCAAATGGCCCTTGGCAGAAAAAAAGGTTCCCCACCCCTGCCCTGAAGGGAAGCATTTTCCGGGCGCAGAGGCCGGAGCTGTTAACGCTTTAACACTAAGACACTGGACTTTGAAACCGGCTGAAAAGAAAAGAGAAAGTCACCAGTATGGGAATTAGTAAATCCCATTATTCGAATGCTATACTGAGAGCGATCCAGGGAGGGAAAAGCAAATGGAAGCCACTGAGAGAGCTGGCGCTCTTGGAACAGGCTGGACACCAAGCGGACAGGGTGGTCTCTCGGGCTCCCCGTGGGGCTGGGACCCCGCGCGCCGGCCCAGGTCCGCCTCGTGGAAAAAGAGAGGCGCAGCGCAGCGCTGCGTGAGAATGCGGAGGGTTCAAGGGCAGAGGTACGTCCTCGGGAAGGAATCCGAACAGGCGGAGTCTGATACTTACTTGTGGCCCAGCTCGTGGGCGATGGTAAAGGCCAAATTGAGCCCATTGTCTTCCGCCAGCACGCATTTCCTCTTAGTGCTGCACACGCCTCCTAAGTAAGCAATTCCTGCAGCAAAGACACAAAACACATCCTCTTGAGAACGCGGGAGGCCCTGACCTCGCCGGGAAGGTCCTCGCGGTCACACATCACCCACAGTCAAGGGAGGGCTGGCCCTGTCACTCCAGAGCTCCTCGAGGGACCGGTGGGTCCATGACGCTTTGGTATTGGCCTGATGATGACAGTAACCACAACAGACGTCTATCAGGCGTTTAATACGAGTCAGGTAATAGGCTGAGCAGCACATTCTCTCATTTAGTCTTCACTACCCAGGGTGGCAGTTACAGGGAAACTGAGGTTCGAGAAAAGGTGACTTTCCCAAAGTCACCTGGACTGGCACCCGGTGCTGTCCAACTGCAGGTCTGGGGCTGGGGCCAGCTGAGGTCAGCAAGGCCAGGCACCCAGTGTGCCAAGTTTAAGGAGGGTCTCCCTCCTGCCCCTGTTCGGGTCAGTGTTCTCGGGGTATGAGCCTGGGTCCAGGCTGGGGCCGACGACAGACAGCAGGCCCGGGGAGGCTGTGTCAAAAGTTCCGGAACTGTGTTTCAGGAGAGACAGAACAAAACCGGGACCCGGAGGGAGTGAGAGAAGGCTGCTGAGCGAGGGCCTGGAAGTCATCGGTGAGGCTGAGCCCACAGCCCAACTCGCCCATCTCCGCACACACTTGACTGGGCCTGGGGACCCTCCCTGAGACGGGGAAACTGAACCAGCGCAAGCAGGAGGAGCACGGCTATGG